GGGGGGGGGGCGGGAGGTTTGGAGAGCAGAGAGCAACCTTCTTTCTATACAGCAATGCAATTGAATAATCTTTCGCTTTGCCCACATTAAAAGCCCTGAATAATGTTTATAAAATGTTAGGGAATCCCGGTAGGTTTCCTATTTAACAAGCCATGTATGACAAATCACAGTGTAATGTACTACGTTCTTAATCTTTAATTAGAATGTGAATATCTGCTAGAGAACGCAGTTAACTTTGACACGTTAAATCTTCTGGTTAAAGTGCCTTACAGAAAGAGCAAAGATGAAACACTGTAACAATCTCCCGCTTCTCTCCATTCACCCAGACAGTTGGGGAAGGATGATAACATCTTGTAATACCTGCTCTGTAGTAATTAATCGCTGTGGTATTTAGGACCATTCAAGTAGACAAATATGACAGAGACAGGGACAATTAGAAACCTTGTTCAAGCTACATTAACTTTTCCAGCTATTACAACACAGCAGCTCAAGTTTGCTTGTAAAAGCTGCAGAGGGATTGCTATGCATTAGCCGTGCGATTATTAATGAAAGAAAAGGAGAATTGTGTTTATTGTAGTTTGAAAATTGCAAATAAATTTCAATTATCTGCTATGTCATTTTGTTAAACATGCACTCTGGAAATGCCTCTGTACTCTAAATCATGAGCTACTTAGAGCAAACGAATACCAGAAACCGTCAGGGACCTAGAAAGTCAGTATTTTTGTGGAACTGGACTTTTTTTTGGTAGGTGAAATTGGAGATGGGCAAAACCACCTGAATGAGCTTTTCAGGTAGCAAGCTCTGCGGCATCCTGGCGTGTATCCGGCTGCTAGGTACCAACAGACATTGAGTTACATGTCTCAGGCAGACATCAGGGCAATCAGAACCACACCGTTCAAGGAAACCAGAGAAGCCCTCTCTCCTTGGGGAATATGCTCAAAACAATTATAAGAAATCAATTATGATAAATAAATAACGTCTGCCATCACTGCTCCTTCCAATAACAAAGTCAGTCTTGGAAAAGAAAAAAACCTACGGGAGGTTCTAGTCAGCTGGAGAGGTGATGGAGAGTCAACGTTTCTGGGGAATGGCTCACGTCTACTGCCTTTCATGAGGATAACTGCCAATCACTTTGAATGGCAAACTTGATCTTGAAACACACACACACACACACACACACACACACAGAGAGATAGAGAGAGAGAGAAAGGAGGAATAAACACACCTGCTTCTCTGCTGTCTTTTGTGAAACTATTTATTTTTCCAAGCAGGCAGACATATATATCCAATACCAAACCTCCCCTCCGGGTCTTGTCTTCCACCCAACCACGTCACAAAGCCACTTTCAAGGGCCTGCTAAGATATCCCACGGCCCAGAAAATGTCTCCTCTCCAGACTCCCCACTCACCCTCCTCTCTCCCCATCCGGGCCCAGCCCATACCACATTTCCACCCAATTTATTATTCGATTTTACTGGCCATCAGGAACCGAACATGAAAAAAATAATTCTGGTGTGACTTGGAGCTGGGGACCTGATCCAATTGTCTTCTGCAAATCAAAAAAAGATCAGCTTAGCATGGCACAAATCTGCATCCCCACCCCAGAATCTGTTGTCACACACACACACACACACACACACACACACACACACACACACACACACACACACACACACAAACCCGCTCAGTGCTCAGGAACAATCTCCTCTCTCAGCCGCACTGCGATGATGTCAGCTTTCTGATTACAAACTGCTTATTTATGCTTCAACAGCTGCCAAGAGCAGCAAATAAGTGGCTAAAAGAGTGTCTAGACCAGGCTTTCAGGCCGCTATTGTCTGGGGGTTGTTACCTGGTTGACAGCGATGGGTCCAGCTGCCTGGTGTGAAAAGGGGCAGGGAAGGGGAGGCGGTGATTGACAGAAGGCCCTCCGGGTCAGCCCGACGGCCCCACGTTTTTATGCTCCCAGCTCCATGGGGAAAGCCAGGGCCCTGCCTGGAGGTTGGAGGTGAAAGGAGATGTTGGAGGCTAATGAAAAAATCTTTTGGCCAAATTTGCCATCATGAACACTTACCCCAGGGAATCAAAGCCAGTGCATGTGGCCAGGGCCGCAGTAGCCAGGAATGGGCACCTCGAGGGAAGCCAGCCAGGCCTTTTGGAGAAAACCCACGGGCCCCTGGAGGAGGGGAGGGTGCACGGGCACTCACGAATCCACTTTATTTTTCGCTCTCCTTGTTTCCTGGTGTCTTTTCTTTTTCATGGTGTGCTCGGGGGTGGGCCACGGAAGCTCCGGCGAGCGCGTCTGCGAACACCCCTGTCTCCACGCACCATCCTGCGGGCTGGAGGCTTGCACCTCGGGGTGCTTTCAGTGGAAGGCTGACAGGACCTGAAACGCTCCAACATTTGGGAGAGATCAGGCGCTGTGCAAGCCGGTGTAAACGTCTAATTAGAATTTTCCACCACTTGCACCACTCGCAACCTTTGAATCTGTCTTCCCCATTTGTCTCCAGCCGCGCTTTCCATTTTAACACTTTCCAGGGTGGGTTTGAATGGACCCAGTCGCCGCCTGCAACGCCGCCGTTGACGATTCCTGGCAGTTGATGGGCACCAGACATGTGTGGCTTCAACCAGGCCGGTCCCCACGGTCCCATCTCACGGTTTGGGGTTCTCGTGGAGAAGAGAGGGCTGCTCCGTGTGGACATTCGTCTGGCCATAATAATCGTCGTGAACTAACTTCTTCTCTGCAGCCCAGCCCTGGTGACTGTTCCTCAAATACTTTGCTTCTTCTCTGGAACTGTCGCGCTGTTAT